GAGAGAGAGAGAGAGAGAAATAATGAGAATCTGAGTTCTTGAGAGAGGGGGGCCTCATATCGAATACTTTGAAGTCATCTTCTTCTTTTATTTTCTATTATATGGGGGGAGAGAGAGAGAGAGAGAAAGGCCTTGCATCAAACACTTGAAGGCCATCTTCGGCCTTAAGCATCATTTGTATAGGCCTTAACTATCTTTCTATTGTTTAAGGGGACTTATGCCCCCCCCCCCCCAACCCCCTTTCAACAAAAAAGGGATGTCATTAGGCGTAGCTAGAATGCCCCCCAAAACCCTTTTCCCCTTTTTCTGGGGGGAGAAGATAGGGGGAAGTACTGTTTTTGACCTTGGCCAAGGAGATTTTTCTTGCCTTGGCCAAGTTGCATCTAGGCACCATCTAGGAGCACGCCCGCCTAAAGCACACCTGGGTGTTTTTAAACCCTTGCCGTCTAGGGGGCCAGGAGGCTGAATTTTTAACATTGCAAGGGGAAATAGTGAGAAGGCTCTAAAAGGGCAAGGGGAAGGCCCAGAAAGACATGTATGGAAGTAGTGAGAAGGTCTATGGTGAATTATAGTTTGATTGAGAGTATGATCCTTGATGGAGTGAAATGTTAGAACATGATTCGTGTAGCCAACCCCAAATAGTTAGGATAAGGCTCGGATGATGATGATGATGATTTATAATCACTATGAATTTTCTTTGTTCATTTTGGGTAACCATGTTTCTCTTCATGTGCTTTTGCTTTTGGAAATCCATTATTGTTTAACTTACTGATAGACTGTGCTGAAGATAGAAAAGGCAGAAGGCAACATAACACACGCCCAATTGTGAAATGGTCTAACCCTTCCTTATTTTCTGACCTATGATAATTAATAAGTAGATATGCACTGCCAATTGGAGTTGAACGAATGTTGGCTTGTTCCTTGTTGTTCAATCTCATGGGTCAATTGCTTTACTACGGTCCTCATTTGAGCTTCTCTTGCAGATAGTTTAAAGATTATGTGCTTCTGGACTATAAGAATATTCGCTTATTCAGTTCAAAAATTTTCTAATGGTTAAGTGATTGTATCTGGTTTTCTGTAGGTTTTGTTGATCAGGGTTTCCATTCCCATAGTTTCAATTGTAGAAATTATCTTATTGCTGTGATGGGAATGATAAAATAGACTTGTTGCTGATTGGAAAATGGACTTCACAGTTGAACCAGTTTGGTCTAGGCGTTCATTTAATTTTCGACATTACTATTTTGGTTATATTCAAGCTTCAGTAGGCATTGGAGGTGGAGGTGGTTGGGAAATACAACTCTAAGTCTTGGTGTTGTTGGTATTTAGAAATGCAAAGAGGAGAAATTCATGTGCAGGCGCATATGTCAGGGCAGCTTCCTAATCAAACTGTTCCCCAGTTATCTGGGCTGCCACAGCATAACGGTAGTAACCTACCTTCCCAAAGCCAAGTCTCGGGAAGTTTCCATGGCACATGGCAAAAGGATTCTGACGTTGTCCTAGCACGCAATTGTATAAGAAGCAGAATGTAAGTCCTTACTGTATACAAATGATTGTTTGCCCAGGAAAACCTTTTACTTGACATCTATCTTTATGAGTTCAAAACTATCCAAAACTTGAGAATTATAATGCATTGGTTAGTGTTTGTCTCTTTTTGTAACTGAGAAATATTTGGGGACCCTTCTATACTTGTGTTTTCTTATGCTTTTACAAAAGAAAATTAGGCATCTTTTGCATTTTCTAATTTAAAATCTATGAATGGTTGAGTGTCAGGCTCTTAATGGTTGAGTGTCGGGCTCTATTTGAACTGATAAATATTAGGTGACCCTTCTATTCTTGTGTTTTCTTATGCTTTTACAAAATAAAATTAGGCAAAATTTTGCATTTTCTAATTTAAAATCTATGAATGGTCTTGCAAAAAATGATTTTTTGTATACCACAAAATTGTCAGTATTCTTCGTGATCTGAGTGCCATTCCCTGAGTAAAATCTTGAACCCATTCAGGAATTCTGGGTATATTTTCAAAAGAGTGGTCGATTGGAGATGTGGAATTGACTATCTTTGGATTTCAGCCTACTGGAAAGAGGCATGTTTATGCTTACTTGCTTTTGCAGCTTGCAACTACTCCAAAGGCAGCGAGCAGCTCTTGAAAGGCAGGCGAAGCTTCCTGATCTTGCGAGGTGCTTGGAGGAAGGCCTATTCAAGGCTGCCGCATCTAAGGTCTTCCCAGCCTTATATTTTTTATTTTTGTTTGCATTTTGATCTTCTTTCAGTCAAGTGATTGCATTCTTGTGAATATCCCACAATGACTAAGAAAAGCAGTACAACGTACAAAGTGTAGCTAATTACTGTTTAATTTTTCAAACATGTGATTTGTTTACCAACAAAAAGATTCTCTTTTTTTAGTTTTTTTTGCAATACTATATCTTTGGCATATTTTGGAAGGTTTTTAAATGATTAATTGGTGGTCTATATGTTTCCTGAATTATCTGAATGTTGTCCGTTTTCGGTCAATATCAGGAGGAGTATGTGGACTTGCATACTTTGGAGCTCAGGTTGCATGCTTTTGTTAAATCTAAGGGTGCTAATCGCAATCAACCATTAGCTCGCCCAGCTTCTTCTTCCTCTTCCATTGGTGCAATGATACCAAGCCCAGGTATGCCTCATGGCAAGGAACAACCAGTGGTCCGTTCTGCTTTTGATAACTCGGGAAATGTTGGCATTGGCTGTAATAAGATGGTTCCAAACGCTGTTAGCATGGAAAGCTCGTCACCTGTTACGAATATACCCGCTGTCTTGGCTTATGGAAATTCTCTGAATGCATCTAATGGTAATTCTATCATAGTGAGCTTTGCTTGGTTTTTGTCCTTACCATACGCTGTACTGACATGTACTACTTTTTTAGGACCTCTACGTACTGGATATCGGCAAGCGCACGATGTTTTTGTTGGTTCTAGAAACATTTTGGGTTCATCAATTGGTATGCCAACAATTGCCAGTCGGATGATCCCCACTCCTGGATTGAATAATCAGCAATCTGTGTCTGCTGATTCTGCATGTTTTTCTAGTGGGGGGAGTTTTTCCAATGTTGATTCTACATCGGCATCAGATCAACAGCAGCCAAATCATTATGTTGGAACTCAAAATTGCCGCTTGCATAATCTCAGTGGGCAAATTAGAGGAGGCATGGTGTCCAGCATGCAGCAAAGGCCTTCTACTCCTGAGTTCCCAAATGGTGCTAGTGGACAAATTAGAGGAGGCATGGTGTCCAGCATGCAGCAAAGGCCTTCTACTTCTGAGTTCCCAAATGGTGCTGTGACTGGTGGGCTGCCATTGATTGGGAGCAACATGCATTTGATGAACAATGGGACTGGGCCATCTGAGAGCTATATGAAGGCTTCTATTTATGGAAATTATCGAAGACCTCAGCAACAGCATTTTGATCTGCATCATCAACATCAATTGATACAGAGTGAGTTGCTTCTATTTCCTTTTCTAATATTTCCTTGGTGAAGAGGTTTCTCTAATTGCCACTATTATGTACTGCTTTTTTTTTTGACATAGATTCCTTTTTGCAAATAACTTTGCAGTCTCTGTTCTATATCAGATTTTGGTAATATTTTATCTGTTTTAATGATATATTTCATTCTGTTTTCTTTCAAAATACAATGTTGTCTCCAATAACTACTTTGGCAGGTGAAGGGCCCATGCTGAGTGCTGCTGTTCTTTCTGGGTCTGGAAATCTTTGTACTCCTGCTACACGTATGGCATCTGCTGTGGGGAATCAGAGTATGAGACCTTTGCAGTTGCAGCCTCTGGAGAATCTTCAGTCACCACAAGATCATTTGCTTCAGTCCCAAAAAATGCAGCAAAAAACCCAGCCATCGCAGTTTCACCAGCCACCTTCTCAGGCAAACGTACAGATTGTGCATCAGCATCAACAGAGGCCACAAAATCAGCATCGCCAAGAGTCAATCTCAGTGACTGATGCATTGACGGAAATTCAAGTTGCATCAGATAATAGTGGTCAGGTTGTGGCAGATCAGGGAATGGATTTGCCTGTGTTGCAACCACCACAAAAAATGACCCACTCACAAAATAACTACCACAACCTTCTTGATGGATCACAGGCAGAACATGCTTCTGACCTGCCATCACTTGAAAAGCGTATCCAAGAGGGACATCACCAACGGATAGCCGGAGATGAAGCTCAAAGGCCAAATCTCCCACTTGAAGGGTCCGTTGAGGAAAGAACTGCCTCTTCTTCGAAAAATGAACCAGCGCTTGAGGTACCTGCTGGGGCAAGCCGTGGGCCTCCCAATACAAACATGGAATCACGCAAACAGCAAATTATTAGGCAACAATGGTGGCTTCTATTTTTGCACCATGCTAGAAAATGTTTGGCCCCAAAAGGGAAATGCCGAGAATCTCATTGCCTAAATGTTCAAGAATTGTTAGCACATATTGAAAAGTGTCGGGAAGCTCAGTGTGGTTATCCTCGTTGCGTCTCTACCAGGGGTCTATTACGGCATCATCATAGTTGTCGTGCTGCAAATTGTCCAGTTTGTGCCCCTGTCAAGCACAGGTTATCACAACAGAAGGCTCTGAGTCATCCTCTCTCTCAATCTGGACCACCAAATGTGAAGAATAGCACGTGCGAGCCTTTGAGCACCACAGCTCCCATCATTATGACATCAACGTCTAGTTCTACTCTTGAAGCTTCAGAAGATACACAACCTCCATTGAAAAGAGTGAAACTGGAGCATCCATCGCCTACTTCTCTTTTGCCGAAGAGTGATACACCAATAGTTTCTATTCCTTCTGTTAATCAACCCGGGGATCAATTGGATAGACCACCACCAGTGAGTCATCAAGCCGAAGTGTCTAAGCCTCTTAACTTTGAGTGTGGGTCAGTGAAGTTGCAATCATCCACAAGTGCTGTTCGAGAACGTCCTGATGAACCTAATGTGGATAAACAAGCTGACAGAAAGCACAAGGATGATCTGAAAACTGAGGAAGGGTATGGTATGTCGTGTCAAGTTGTCCTGCAAGCTAAGCAAGAACAGATTCCTGCTAAGACAGAGACTGGGCCAATTAAGTGTGAACCCAAACGAGAGACTATTATAAAACCAGCTGAGCATGTGGCATCAGCTAAATTGGGGAAGCCAAAGATCAAGGGTGTCTCACTAACCGAACTTTTTACTCCAGAGCAAATTAGGGAGCATATCACAGGTCTCAGGCAGTGGGTTGGTCAGGTCAGTACCTTAAATTCCTTTGTCTAAATAAAAGCTTCCAGGATTCTTTTCTAGTCTTAGATGGGCTCTTAAGTGGTACTTTTTGTATTATTAATTTCCTTATGTATAATTCAAATTTTATATTGGGTTTAATTTCTTTTCAAAGGAAAGTAAATTGCAACATGCAAGTATTGCTATTTCTAAGTTTGTATAAAATTCCATAGTCCTGACCATTCTCCATTAAAATTCACTTTTGCTATTCTATCAATGACCTCATTTACCTCCCCACGTGCATTCACGACATAATTGACTCAAGGTTCTATTAATAGGCTTAAAGTTTCTGCTTAAAGAGACTTTCTAGTATATCTCAAGCTATCCCCAAAGACCCTGATTTCCAAATAGCCAATTGCCTTCTGCAATTTACAGCATGGAATTATTTCTCAAAAGATGCTCGCCTCATGAGCCTCTCTGCATGCATCAAAACAACATTAATGACCTGATTCCCTAATAGACAGATCTTCAGAAATGACACACAAAAGTCCGTGCTTTGTGTTAGTTGGGGCCTCACCGTGCCCTTTTTTTTGTTTTTTTTGTTTTTTTTCCTTTTGTAGACTATAATTATTTGAGGAGCGACAATTGTTTTCTTCATATGGTGCTTTGCATTTCACAGAGCAAAAGCAAAGCAGAAAAGAACCAGGCTATGGAACAATTAATGGGTGAGAATTCATGCCAGCTGTGTGCTGTTGATAAACTTTCATTTGAACCGCCTCCTATATATTGCACACCATGTGGTATTCGTATTAAGAGAAATGCTATCTATTATACCATGGGAACGGGTGATACCCGACACTGTTTCTGTATTCCATGTTATAACGAGGGACGTGGGGAGAACCTCGAGGTTGATGGATTTATTGTTTCCAAGGCAAAGCTGGAAAAGAAACGTAATGATGAAGAAACTGAAGAAGCAGTAAGAACATTCTTTCTCTATATATATCTTTGTCTATCTATTGTCTTAAATTTATTTACTGGAAGGATCTTTTCTTCATGGTTACATCTCCTTTGTATGCAGTGGGTTCAATGTGATAAATGTGAAGCTTGGCAGCATCAGATATGTGCCCTTTTCAATAGTAGAAGGAATGAAGGTGGGCAAGCTGAATACATGTGCCCGAACTGCTATATTCAAGTGATTGAAAGGGGAGAACGGAAGCCCTTACCTCAAAGCGCTGTTCTGGGTGCTAAAGATTTGCCAAGAACGAACCTCAGCGACCATATGGAACAGAGGCTTTTCAGGAAACTGAAGCAAGAGAGACAGGAAAGGGCAAAAGTTCTGGGGAAGAGTTATGATGAGGTAATTTGGTGTGGTAGCATAGAAGCATGAGTTTTTGATTTGGAAGTTTTAGTGAAATTATTTAATGATGCTAGTTGACAAAGTTGTTACTGTTGTGAAATATCATCGGTTTGCCTTGCCTTCTGAAGTTTCAGCTACATGTCAAATGTTGTTACATATGTTTTTGTAATATTGGTCTCGTTTTGGCCTGTTTGATTATGAATACTTTTAGGAGATAGAGCTCTCTGTGAAATTCTATGGTTTTCGTGTTGATCGAATTTTTGTTCCTCATATTTTCTTTTTACAGTTGATTTTATCTTTTTGAGGTTGGATGGATAAACCATTTTCTTTGTTGACTTGGTTATCTGCTTGTCCCTTAGCGATTTTCTTTTTTTGTCTTGATTTGTATCTTTTTGAGATCGGCTTCTCTTTATGTTTACTTCTATTTCTTCGTTCTAATTGGGATCATGGGATCCTTTTTTATGCCAACCTAATTGGTTGTTATGAAGGGCATAAGGAATTGGGATTTCCTATTTGTCCAGGTCATTTTGGCATTCAAACCTTTTTAGTTTGGTTCTGTTTCTATTCTGCTGAGGAAGCAGAGTGGTTGGCAGACAACAGAGCTTTGGTGGGAAATAGTGCTCGACAAAGAAAACTGTGCAGGACAATCTACTTTAAGGGAGAATAGAGTTTAGGATTATTATATATTTGGATGTGTTTGACAGGGAAAAAACACATTCCTGATTCTTATATACTGGAGATGGTATACATTGGTTCTTGAGTTGTTTGTGTATAGAAGAATTATGAACCCCTCCAATTATGTGAACTGGGGTGGGGAGGTTAAGCCACCGCCAGTGAACCAAGCCTAATGAGCCTATGGCTCTTTAAGTGGTAACAAAAAACAACTTAATGGTAGGATTCAGTTTAACTGTGGGTGTCATGCGTAGTATGTAGTATCGTGCTTGACCATTGTAAGCAATGTGGTCTTGTGAGGAGACAAGTGCTTTCGTTAGATATGAAAAAGATACTAGAAGTGAAGTTAGATGCACAAAAACAAAACTAACAGGCAAATATTAAATTTCTATCTTGAAGTGTGAATTCTATACTAATTCTGCATATCATCATCTTAACAGGTACCAGGAGCAGAAGCTCTTGTTATACGAGTTGTGTCATCTGTTGACAAGAAACTGGAAGTGAAACAACGATTTCTAGATATATTTCAAGAAGAAAATTACCCATCAGAATTCCCCTACAAATCCAAGGTGCAGTTTGCTTTCACTTCACGTTTAAAATGAAGACTTATATTTAAGTTCTGTAGCACTAAACCTGTTTATAAAGGGCTTTCCTGATGATTGCCTGTATGATCTATTCCAGGTCATTTTGTTGTTCCAAAAGATTGAGGGTGTAGAGGTTTGCCTTTTTGGTATGTACATTCAGGAATTTGGCTCAGAATGTCAGTTGCCAAATCAGCGCCGTATATATCTTTCATATCTTGATTCAGTGAAATACTTTCGGCCTGAGATAAAGACGGTGACAGGAGAAGCTCTCCGCACCTTTGTTTATCATGAAATACTGGTAGGAAATTACTGGTGTTTAATTTCCTACCAATTACATTTTCAGACATTCTCGTGTGGGTTGATCTTTTATATGAGTGCAAACTCCTTAAATTGTTTATATTTTCATAGTCATTAAGTCAACTTGAAGTTGATTACTTTTTTGGAGTGCTTTTCCTGTTTATAGAAGAATAGTGAACGTGGATGATAAAGTATTGAGTATATGATCATCTGTTCTCAGATTGGGTACCTTGAGTATTGCAAGAAACGGGGATTCACTAGTTGTTACATTTGGGCTTGTCCCCCACCAAAAGGTGAAGACTATATTTTATATTGCCATCCTGAGATACAGAAGACGCCCAAGTCTGAAAAGCTCCGGGAATGGTGATCTCTCTCTCTCTCTCGCTCTCTCTCCCCACATGTACGCTGGCTGTAGCCAGCTGCGAGCCCCGACGTATTTGACATGCTCTAGGATTGGCGTTTTACATTTTATGGTATGCCATAGTGAAGGTTGTGATTTGTTTAATATTTCTTCTTATTCAGGTACCTTTTAATGCTACGGAAAGCAGCCAAAGAAAACATTATCGTGGGTCAGACTAATTTGCATGACCACTTCTTTGAGTGTACTGGTGGATGTAAGGCGAAGGTAACTGCAGCTCGCTTGCCATATTTTGATGGTGACTACTGGCCAGGTGCTGCAGAGGATATGATCAGTCAATTTCTACAAGAAGAAGAAGGAAGGAAGCACCAAAAGAAAGGGAAAACAAAAAAGATTATTACAAAAAGGACTTTAAGGGCTGCTGGTGCCCTGGGTGATCTTTCTAGCAATGCATCAAAGGATGCATTACTAATGCATAAAGTAAAGTGCATCTTTACATTTTATCTTGATTTTGTTTTATTGGCTCACAAACTTTTGTTTTTTGTGCAACATGATACCTTTAAGACTATTACAGAAAGAAAATTAAATTGTATAGTTTATGCTGAAAATCTGGTCTTAGTTCTGGAAGCCCCTATGAGTGTGTGCTATGGTGTTGTTAGTAGTCAATTGAATACAATCATTTAGTTAGTGAAAGGTCAGATTTCCAAATGTATGATTTTCATTTTCTTTTCTTTTCAATCTTTTCCGAGGTTCTATTTTGTTTTTTCCCTTACAAGTCTCTTCCTTCTACAGCTTGGTGATATCATCCGACCAATGAAGGAAGATTTCATCATGGTCCACCTGCAGCATGCATGCATTCATTGTTGCCATCTCATGGTGTCTGGAAAACGTTGGGTTTGCAAGCAGTGTGAAAATTTTCAGCTTTGTGAAAGGTGAGGTGTTTTTTTTTAAGCTTTTTATGGAGATTATTTGTGTGAAGCATTTTCACTCTGTTTGCTTTTGTTGTCTTTTTCAGTCTATTCCAATGCTTCATGCAAATTGATGCTTCAAATGCTTGCCTATGTAGTCAAGAATGTTTGATTCGATGCATTACAATTGATTTTTATTTTTCGTGTCTTGCATATAGGTTTGAGACTGGGCCTAAAGAGCATGTCTTTCCAGAACTGTGAACTTGGGTTTTGGCTTGGTTTGAAACCATAGTCAACTTGACTCCTCCAGTGAGGGGGTTTTATTAATGAAAAACTCTGGTTTTGTTCAAGTTTTATCTTTCCCTATAATATCTCTTGATGATTTGTTTACAAGCCTCCCCTATTTACACAATGAGCACAACACTCATCGCAAAATGCAATGGAAAAGAAAAAACCTTATGGAGGCTTTGCTTTTCTATTGTAAAATGTGGGCTAAGATTGACATTTTCCTTCCGCTCTCAATTGCGAAAGACCTTAGCAAATCTGTCGATCACCATAGCATCCTTTAACTATATTGGGTCTTTATGCAAGCCAGTGTTTTAAAATGCGGGATGCAGCCAAAAGCGTTGGGGGGGGGGGGGCGGATGCGGCTCGATGCGGTCAATATATGTAAAAAAATTCTAAAAAATCTCAAAAAATAGGTTAATGCATAGAAAAAAATATGGAGGTGATATATGTGATAGTAGGTATTTTAGTTTAATGGTTAACTCCAAAATTATTAGCTGCCGGAGATTCTGTGTCCACTATCCTTAATTTTAGTGCTAAATTTCTTCATGACCTCTGAAACCCCCGATTTTTTGTCACAAATTCACCTAAACTTCCCCAAATCAACAATCAAAAGGTTCTAATCAATAACCAAGTATCAAACAATCCTCAAATCCAAGATTTAAATGAAAAAGAAATTCCGCCTAAATTTTTTTTTTGCTCGATTTGATCCCAAAAAAGCCACGAAAGTGGCTATAAATGATCGTCTAGGGGGTTGAATACCCTCCCAAACTGTTTCCCCCAATTTTTTGATGGTCAAAAAGACCATTTTGCCCCTCCTCGAGGGGCACAATTGAATTTTTTTTTTGCAGTAAACAATGCGGCTAGATGCGGGTCTGATGTGGCCAGATGCGGCTCTGATGCGGTCTGATGCGGCGCATATGCGGCCGCATAACTCAAAACCGCATATGCGGTCTGTGCAAATGCGGTGCCCACCGCATACCGCATGATGCAGCCGCATATGTGGCGATGCGGCCTTAAAACACTGATACAACCTGAATTGGTTGTGTTTCAACCCTTAAACCTCGTGTATATGTTTGTGGTTAGGCCAGAAGTAGGTTAGAGAGAGGGAACAAAGTAATGCATAAGAATCCCTTCTCTATAATATATCTATATATGTATATATATTTTGTTTTGAGAAATGGTTTACCTTTATATTAGTAATGTAAAAATTACAAATAGACTTCTTGTACAGTTTACTGACCAAGAAATGGGGGCAAAAATGTCACAAAAATACAAATGCCAAACCTTTTGGGGCTGGGGAGGGGTATTACAAAATTTGGGTGGTACTTCCCTGTTTGGTTAGGGTGGCTGCTGCTGCGTAGGCCTCAAGCCATATGTGCTGAAATAGCACTTCAGGTTGTCTATTAAACTAAAAAAATTTGTTCAAAGACATGCTTCAGTCTCCTTGGGCGGATCGACAATCTTGTGTCCCAGTTCATGATGTTCTTAGAATCTCCTTCAATCACCAGCTGGAGCCCCAACACTGGTTGAACAGTTTAGGGCCTTCGTGGAGAGGTTGTGCCTCAGTCTCAGTCGACTTTCTGATGCCTATTGCTTTTTATTAGGACAGTAATGTGGGTTCTGTACTGTCTGAAGACTCCAATGCCTGCCCTTCCCATCGTCAAAATAGGAGCGCCTGTCAAAGTTTAATTTGATATTACCTGGTTTGGGGCAAACAGGAATAGGAGCGCCTGTCAAAGTTTAATTTGATATTACCTGGTTCGGGGCGAACAGGTAAGAAGATCTTGTAATAACATTGGACTGGACCTTGTAATTTGGAGCCAGTTTTGTTAGAAGTCCAGGGTTTTATAGGCACTGAACTCCTTTCTATTTCAGTGGATATAATTCTATCATTTATGGCCTGGACTGGGGGCTCTCTACCTTCAAAGGCTCGCCTGTTCCATTCCAACTAAACTGCCCATACCAAGGACTGATGGAAGCCCTCCCACAAGAGCAGGCCAAATGTGGGACGAGGGAGTAAATAGAAGGACTATGAACAGTTGGTGGTTTTACTCACGGGCGGCGCACACAATCCCAAAGAATTGTAGACTGGAGGATCGGATCTCTCTTTGTAGTCTGGCAGTGAAGGAATAGATGGGTGATTCTTCACTGTCTTTACACACATAAGTTATTGAGGGTATTGCTGAATATCGTTCACTAATGACCTTTTTGTGTAACATCATAGGTAGCACAGGGATGTGCAAGGCCCTTTGGCTATGGCTGATCAAAGTACTTGGTCAAATTTCTTCGTAAGAGTTAAAGGACACTACTAAGAAGATCCCTGATGTATCTGGTTTATACCTTTTTGTCCGTACATTGGCACAAGAGGAACTGGGACTGTAATTAGGGCCAACAAAGCCTCTAATTCCTGGAACTCGCAATCAAGAGAGCCCTCCTAAACCTTGGTGAGAAAACCAATTGGCCACCCAGGACATCATATGAATCGGAAACTATACATCCTGGCCGGTCACCACCATGTAAAGGTTCGGAATCGAACCTCTAATTTGCTCTCTCCTGGCCACCTGTCTTTCCATAGTCCAGTGCTATCCTTTGTTTTTGCTGATATTCGGATCCGGGTGGAAAAGGGAAAATAAGCAGAAGGAATACTTTTCCAGGCTCTGAATGCCATTGCATCAGCTCAGTCCTTGACCAGCCAGCCGGAGTTGTCACTTCAATATTTTTGCCGGATTACTAACTATCATCTTTGGCAGGGCACCACCTCCTCTTTCCCAATATTTCTGTATTCATTTCCTTTTAAGAGCCTAATGCTTGAATATCCCTCTTTTGAACTTACAAATTGAGTCTTTTCTCACCAAATAAAACTTGGTGATCTCCACTGCCTTCAACCATAAGAAATCTCTCATTAGGCGCTCAAGTCTATTGAATATAGACATCGACATCCTGAAGAGAGATATTTGCAAAACTGGACAATGTAGATCACAACTCAAATTGGACTACTAAAATATTCTCAAGAAAGAGGAGATATTTTGGTTCCAGAGATCAAGAATCAAATGGCTCAAGTCGGGAGACCTTAATACTGGTTTTTTCCATAAAACTGCAAACTGCAGACGTAGGGATAATTCCATTTCTCACCTTAAGGATGGGGACTCTCTGTTGGACTAACCCAACCAGATCGAAGACGCCATCCTATCCTTACTTCTCTAATCTCTTCTCTGCTCCTCAAGGACCTAGGCCAGTTATGGGCAACCTCTCCTTTCGCTTCCTATCACCGGACAAAGCCTCATGGCTGGAAAGACCTTTCCTTGAAGAAGAAATACTTGCAGCAATCTCAGACTTGGCTGCTGACAGGGCCCCCGGCCCTGACGGATTCCCTGTTGCCCCTTTCAAAACCTTTTGGGACTGCTTCCATAGTAATTTCATGGCCTTGTTTACAGAGTTCCATTCATGGGCTATCATCCTTGTCCCAAAGATTGAAGGGGCAGAACAAATCAAAGATTTCAGACCAATCAGTTTAGTCAACTCGACCTATAAAATTATTTCAAAAGTCCTAGCATCTCGTCTTAAAGAGGTCATACCTTTTGTTATACCCACCACTCAGAGTGCTTTTGTCAAAGATAGGCAAATCTTGGATAGGGCCGTAGTAGCCCATGAGTGTGTGCACTCTAGACATCTAAGTAAACTCTCAGGCTTAATTGCTAACTCGACTGGGAAAAGGCTTACGATCATGTTAATTGGGCCATCCTTGAGGAAACCCAAACCAGTATGGGTTTTGGGGTGAAATGGAGGTCGTGGATGAAAGCCTGCTACTCCAACCCCTACTTCTCTATCCTCATCAATGGCCCAAGGCCTACTTCCCATCCTCTAGGGGTCTGAGACAGGGAGACCCTCTGTTTCCTTTCCTCTTTGCTATTGTGGCGGAGGTCTTTAGTCAATCAATCTTCCTCCTCTACGAAGCTGGTATGCTACATGGGTTCTCTTGTGGAAACCAGGGCCCTGTTGTCTCGCACTTGCAATACGCAGATGGCACCCTGGTCTTCTGCAATGCTGATCCCGATGAGGCTGATAACCTCTTCTTGTTTTCAAGATGGTTTGAGTTCGCAACGGGCTTCAAAGTCAACTTCAAGTAGATGAAAATGATGGGGTTTCCATTGATTTCCATTCTCTTAAAGCCTTAGATGACAGTTGGGGCTGTGAGGCTCAAGAATTATTGTCCAATTACCTTGGACCGCCTCTGTGTTTAGGTAAACCGAAGCATAGCTCCTGGTCCCACATTATAGACAAAGTCAATAGGAAATTGGCAGGATGGAAGGGTCGGTTCCTTTCCTCGGCCGGAAGGGCGACCCTGATCAAAGCAACCCTTGCCAATATCCTTATTTACCAGATGTCTATTTTCCACATGCCGGCTACCGTTGCAGCTAGAATTGAACAACTCATTCGCAGGTTCTTCTGGTGTGGAGTTGGGAACAATCACAAATCCATTTGATATCATGGGACAAACTGTGCCAACCTAAAAGGCAAGGGGGATTAGGTATTAGAATACTCAATAAACAGAATCAAGCTCTACTAGGAAAGTGGTGGTGGCACCTAGCAACTCAATCTGATCAGCTTTGAATTGAAATCATCAAACACAAATACCATATCCCAGCTTCTCTTTGGATCCCCAAAATTCGAAATCACTGTAGAGCCTCTGGTTTTTGGCGATCTCTGCGATCCTCATACCATTCTTTCTGGAAGTG